ATCCAGTTATGCCCGAGCCACGGACGCAACGCGTTGTTGCGGTCTAGTAACGTTCCGTATCGCGTCTCATACGTTTCCGTGTTATCCGTTTCGTTTGCCGTTGAACGACAACCTATTTTCGGATATCCGATCGAAGAGGGATTGTTGTAGGACCGGCGAAGAAACGAGTGGAAATTAGGTAATCACGCGTGGATAATAATCGTTTGTTAAACGATTATTTCGATGAAGAAATGGAGTGATCGATCGTTTGGGATATTCGATCGAAGGAATTCGTTGTAGAGGATGAATGAAGAAATGAGTGGAAATCGTTATGAGAATTTATTGATGTTTTATATTTTTATCGTTATGTATATCTATTCGTTCGTTTTATTCGATGAAGAAATGAGTGGAAATTAGATATAGAATCGCGTAATCGTTTGTTTTATTTAATCGTTTCGGAATATTTGAAATTGCGCGTGGATATCGTTTGGGATATTCGATGAAGAGACGTGTGGAAATTAGATAATTACGCGTGAATTTGTTAATCGATCGTTTGTTATTCGATCGAAGCAATAGGAATTATACAAATGGACAAATGAGTGGAAATTACATGTGGATATCGTTTGTTAAACGTTCGTTTGGAATACTCGATCGAAGCAATAAGAGGAATTGAAGAGGATAGGTGGACAAATGAGTAGACATTAGATAATTAAGCGTAGATATCGTTTGTCCGTTTGGGATATTCGATCGAAGGAATAGGAGGAATTCGTAAAGGAATTGTTCATCAATGTGTGGATCATTCAGAATATTTTAAATTCTATCGTTTAATCATTTGTTTAACGATCGAAAAAATAGGAGGAATTGTGGAGAGTGAAAAAACGAATAATTTTAGATTATTTATATATATATATATATATCGTTTGTTTGTACCGATCGTTTGGAATATTCAATCAAAATAATAGAAGAGATAAATAAATTAATGGAAATTAGATAATTTTTGTCTTCATTATGTGTGATTATCAATTGATTATTTAAAATATTCAACTCGAGAAAATAGAAGTAATTGTAGAGAGAAATGGAAAAATTAATCAATAACCTTTTGAATAATTATTCTTTGTCCATTATGTGATAATCAATTTATAGTTTAAAATATTTAATTTGAAAAGAAGGAATTTTTTATTTCCTGATAAAAAATTCTGAATTATTTTTTTGTCCATTATGAACGCTTGTTAACTTTGGAAAAAATACGAGAGATCATGGAGAATAGCATTAATAACAATTTATGTAATTATTGTGTATGTAGCTATCGGTTTTTAAACGTTTTCATCAATCAATTGAAAATATTCAATCGAAAAAATAAGAAGAATTAAAAAAAAGGCAAAACGAAAAAATTAACTAATAAACTTCTAATTTTTGTGTCTATTGGCTATCGTTTATCAATTGATTATTTAAAAATGTTCGAAAAAAAAGTAAAACTTACGAAATAGGCGAAGAAACAATAAGCATCGGTTAATGAGTTCCAACTAATTTTCTAATTTTCCACTTCTGGCTGGCAATCAATCAATTGTTCTCAATATTCAATTGAAAGGAAATAACGAATAATCGAAACAATTCCATTTTTCCTCTCTACGACTAATTTCCACAGTTAAATGGATTACACGGTTGATCACCGATGTTTATCACTATCACTTTGATCTTTTTTTCCACTTTTGCACATTCCTCGATCATTTTTTTTATTTTCCACTATTTACTTTATCGAGAATTTTCTCACTTTTCACCATTTCGAATCATCGTAAACACACATATTACATTTTGAATCATCAATATCTCTCCCAGCTAAAAATATTTGGAGTTTCCAGTTTCATTCACTTTAGCAGCTTTCTCCACTATCCCAAACGTACTGCACTGATCGAAACAGTTCTATTTTTCAACGTTTCAACGACTAACTTTAAGCGGATTACGCAGTTGATCACTAACGTTTTCTTTCATCGAGTCTTATTCACCACTGTGCACTATATACTCGCTATTATAAATTTTTTTTTCCCTCTATATTCTTTTATATCTAATTTCGTTTTTCAAATTTAATGACACTTCACTTGATCTGTCGATTATACTTAAACCAAGCAACGATCACATTACATTAACACGTTAAACAATATTAAATATTTATGAATTTATTATACAAAATTTAAAAAAACTTACAAAATCCATCAACACAAAATATAAAAAATTATCATGTTTGTTACTATTAACTCACTTGTTACTATTGTTACTATTAACTTGATCATATTTACAGAAGTGAAATTTTGCATAAAAATTCGCAATGTAATTGATCACGTGTAAGATAAAAAGATGATTTGTAGTTTAAATGTGGAGCTTCATGGTTAGAATCGATAGGTTACCGTTAGAAACGCGTCTTAATGTTGCAATGAATCTCATTGGATCGCGAAGCCTTCGAGAGGTTTTTTACGTGTGTGACACGTGTTTTGACTCGATCCGCTTCTCCGCGACGGTTAGAAACGTTTTCAAAGTAATCTCTCTTTTTAAGCACGAAACTGAGAAGTTAGAAAAATAATTGGATTGTATTTGGAAAATTTCAGATAATTCTTGCAATTTGGATTGTTGTAAAAATATTTTAGATTATCAAGAGTTATTTTCTACACGATTTGAATTATTCTATTTAGAAATTTGAAATATCCATCGTCGAATTTTTCGTTACGATTTGAACTGTCTCGAAAGTATTTGTAAGTCGTTGAAAGTTTCGCGTTATATTTTGCGATTTAGATTGTCTCAAAAATATTTTCGATCGCCAAAATCCCTATTATTTTTGTCAATTTGGATCAGACTAAAAAATATTCGTGATTGTCGTATATTTCGAACTACGTATATTTCGAATTTCGAAGTCGTCGAATCTTCTCCGATATTTTCCACGATTTAAATTATTAGAAAAATATTTTGGATCATTAACCAATTATCTTTCGCAATTTGGGCTCAAAAATTTGAAACATTTCAAATGTAAAATCGAGTGTTTCGTAATATACGATTTAAATTATTCCACCAATATTTTCGATCGAAATTCTTATTATTTTTCTTGATTTGAGTTATATTATAAAATATTCATGTTTTTCTAAAATTTTGTACATTTCTCAAATTTTTTTTCAAGATTTAAACCACTCTAAAAATATTCTATCAGATTCGAAGCACCCACAAGCAAACACACTTCCAGTGATATAGAATTTCACGACACTTAATCATAACAACCGAATAAACTTCATAATATTAGTGATAATCTTCGTGCAGTGAAGTGTCAAAAGTGCCAGCCACGATAAATATAACAAGAAGAACAACAACGAAGAACAATAAACCAAGAATACTCTCCGCAAGGAAATGACTATCTGTTCGCTATTCGATCTTGATCGAAGGCAACATAACCTAATCTAAGAAGACGATCGAGGATAATCCTTCCTCGACACAAAATATTCTCCTCCAAGTATCCAATGGTTCTTCGAGGACTGGTCGAACATCATGCTCGATCTCTTCTGCATCTTGGTGCCACTGCGGCTAATGTAGAATCGACAGGACACGACAAAAGAAAACATAGCTGCGAGCTATTACGTGGAACTAATCCAAACGAGGATACGCGTGAGAAGTGGATCAAAAAGGAGCATAGATGTCTCTGCCGCGATCTCTTGGCGCCTGAAACACGTTTTTCCCTTGTACGCCACGCGTTAGACATTTGATGAAAGACAATACGTGGCCTTATAGTTTGAATCGGCGAAGAATAAAGAGAAATAGGAAAAAGATGTCTCTCGATGGACTAAAAATCGAGCAATGTCGCGTGTTTCCGTCTCTCAACGATTCGTTGTTGAATCAATGAAATTATAATTTTGATAGAAAACGATAAAGAGAGGTTAAGAGTGTCCAATTCCTTGTAGATGAGATGGAGATGCTTCACGTGGAGAGATGACGAGTATATTCAAAAAATCGAGGTTCGAGTTTATCTGCCTTCGATGTATAATATATTGTTCATACGTATTATCATTAGATTACTAAATAAATTATAAAATAATAATATATAAAAGAAAAATTTGGTATTAAGAGACATTTGATCGTTAATATCGAATTAAGATTTCGAAAATTCGAAGATCAGATCCTTTTTAGATCAAGAGAGGAGATTGTTATTTTTTTTCCGAAAAAATTGAACGAAATTAAAATTTTGGAAAATTTGAAAGATTTGCATCGAGAAATCTTCGATCGAGACAAGTTCATTATAATTTTCGAAAGAATTAAAATTTTGAAAATTAAAGTGGAAGATCCTGTTTATACGAAGAAAATTTTCGATCGAGAGAAGGTCGTTACGAAAATTGAACATAGTCGAGTAAACGAAAGGATTATTCCAACGATCGATATCCATTCTCCTTTGTCACAAGATGTTTAATCCTCGATACGATTCCTAAAAGGATTTCCTCCTTGATCGGCCCGTTCATCAAGGCTGAATCTGAAGACGCATCCAAAACGAATCTATTCCTGTTACGAGGAATAGACATATCGAAAAGAATCTTGGAAATATAAGAGATAGATAGTAAAAGATAGTATATCTGTACATATTTTTCCTCTCTCGCGGGAAATCATCGTCGAAGAAAGAGAAGACAAGACTCGTCTCACACTATAGATTGCCTTTTTCATGTGACTGGCTAAATTCTTAACAAAACGTAAATAAATTTTTTAATTCTATTTAAATTCTACTTAATTAAAATCACCAAAACTTCCACTTTATTTCAGTTAAATTTGTAACAACTGATTCTTTAATCAGACATAAATAAATTCTATCGAAGATCACTAATAATATTATCAAAAAACAAAAGGAAAAAAAGGACGAATTATTTTGATGAACTCTTCTTGTAATTTGGCTAAATTCGTAACAACTGATTCATTAAAAACCACTACAAAACTTCCAGGTTAAATTTATAAAAATTCATTTGTTAAGTATAAATTCCACGAAAAAAGAAACAATTTGTTAAGAAAAATATGAAATAAATATAAATAAATTTCACCAAATAAAATTAAGAAACAAAATACGAGAAAAATAAATCTTCTTGGCAATCTAACCTAACTTGGCAAGATAACCAAACTAACAGAATCCTATAATAAATCTTCTCTAACCTACGTAAATTCGTCTGTTCCACGATCTATAAATTCCGTAGAAGGAAATTCTCCTTTAAATCTTAAGATTTAACGAAACGATGAATCTCAAAGCGAGGAGAGAATATCACACCACACATATTTAACACTTTCGATTCACTACTATCACGAGTACGATTCTTTCAAATGCAACTGCACAGAGGGAGACACTATCGAAAATAGAGAATCGAGGTTCGAGACAAGTGTATCGAAAGAGCAAATAAGGTAAAACAATCGATCGTGGAGCGGAGATCGAGAGGAGTAACAATCGAAGCAGGAAGTTTGTTGTTTCGTTCTCTTAGAATTTTTCTACGATTGAGTTGTTCCTTTTGTGAAGAAGGATTAAAGGAACGAGAATGCGATCCAAGTGGAGAATCGGAAGGATCGTATCCTTTAACGGGAAGAAATGAAGTTATCAGTGTCGGCTTACAGAGCTCAGGCAAGTGCTCACAAGAAGATTCTTTCCAACTATCAGCATCAGCTGAGTTACGGGGCCACCAATCAGGCGTCCTCGGCCCGGACCCCCTCTGATCCCGCGACGTTCCTTACTGGCTTCAAGGTTGGTCATTTTTTCTTCATGATTAGAGAAAAATTAATTTGAACATTATAATTAATTTAAATATTCATAATCGAATTAATTTTGTGCGAATTTTTTTCGAATATAATTTCGAAAAGAATTATGTACGATTGTTATTATTATTATTATTTTTTTTTTGATAATAGGAAAAACTATGTGTCTTTGATATTTTTTTTATAAAGTTAATTTTTAAGATGCAGTGGTTTAGAGATTTTAGAGACTTTGTAATTATCTTTTGATAATGGGAAAAATTTGTTATCAATATTTTAGATTTAATGAAATTATGTGAAATTGTTGAAAGAGAAATTTAAGAAATTTTGCACAATAATAATTTTCTTTAATTTATTATATTTTCTAATTTCTTTATTCAAAATTATTTTTGCATGATAAAATTTTATTCACATTTTCACATTGCTACTGTACATATAGCTCTTTCAATTATGCATGAAGGACTTTATAATCTTGGAATTCTAGATATGAGAATTTTTCCTTGCATTAATGATGCTCGATTTTATAACAAGTCTGGAGATATACTATCGAGGCAAAATTTTTTACCTACAAATTGTATCATTAGAGATTAATTAATAATCGTGTCATAAGTAATTAATAATTAATAACTACTCTTGTTAAAGTTGATTAATTTGCTTGTTATGTGAATTAATTTACTGAATCGTGGATGAAAATTTAATTGAATTTTAAACATTAATTTAATGGTGCTTTTTATACAGAACATTTTTTACTTCATTAAACATTGACAGTTTCTTGGAAACTAATTATACTTATTGAGAGTTTCATTTATAATGTAGTAAATACGTAGTAATTAAGGTGGGTGTCTTTGTTTCTCATTTTTCAAGAGAAATTAAAGCATAGTCATTAATATTTTGCTTGAATATTTCAATATAATTTTTTATATTATTTTTAGAATTACTAATTGTCTAGTTCAAATTTAATATTAATATTCGAATAGTTAAATTGATAATAATGTATTCTGAACTTTTTAGAATGTTTACATCTAAGAAAAATTTATTTTTGATAAATTCTCCTTTAAAACTTTTTTACTTTGTTATTTTAAAGAAAAGAAAATTTTCCACGAAAATAAACGAAGAACTCTCTATAAACTTCGATAATTAAAATGAAAAAATTTATTCAAACGTGATGTTGTTATTAAATTAATTTTTTTTAGCAATTAAATTAATATTTTATTTTATTAAAGTTGAATTAATAAAGGTATGTAATATAAAAAGAACGAAATTCTTTAATCGATAATTTTCGAAATGAAGTTCGAAATTTCTTAAAACAAAAACACGTGAAACACGAAGTAATAAGATTGAAAAAGATAATTGAGAGAAACGTTTAGAAAGAACGTGGTAAGATGTACGTGACTGGTTTTTATTTGGACTTTTAATTGTGACTTTACTTTTTTCACAAAACTCTGGCCCTTCTTCTGCCATTGTCCTCATTCTCATAGCGGGTGTACCACTCGAGGAACAAAAAGTTTTTTTCGTCTAAAAACTTTTACTAGGTCTGTAAAATATGCACTTTCGACCGTTTATTGGAATTTTTTGTTTAGACAATTCAAAAAAATTTTCGAACTTTATTGTTCGATTATTAATTGTTACGAATTTTGCTTAAAAATTTTTATCAATCGTTTATAAACAAATATTTTCGGGAGGAAATTATAAATAAAAAGATACAATACAAACGCATTATAGTAAAAATTGGAGTAAAAATTTTGGAAAATTGGAAAATACTCATTCAAAGATTTTTACACCACATTCCCAATCTCGAATTTTCGAAGATAAATAAAAATCATTTCACTCAAATCCTCAAAACCCAAAAAATTTTTTTCAATTTTACAACATTTTGCACCTCATTCATATCTTGTAAGATCACGATAAAGAATGCAATCTATTCTTCTTATCCTTTTCTACAAAAGAAACGTGTGTTATATTTCGTAAATTAATAATCATCTAAATGGATATGAAAAAGCACGTACATATACGTATCTGAATTTCGACGAAAAAAAATGACACATCAGAGCCTAGCCAAATTTTATCGAAATTGAAAATTCTAAAAAAAAAAAAAATATAACACGTCTGTAAAAATCATGCGAATTTTATCGAGGATAAAAATCTCAATAATCATCAAAAACTAAAATTCATCGATTATATACTTCGTAAAAAAAAAAAGAAAAAAAAAAGAATCATCACTTTGAAAAAAATCTCGTTTCCTCGAATTTATCAATTTTAATATCAGGGAGGAAAAAAAAAAAAATATCTGTAATTTCGAAAACCAGAGAAAGAATCGAATCTCCGTCCTCTATTACGAATCGTCACTCCTTTAATGGCGTCCTCAATTTACGCGCGCGATTTAAATTTCAAACGAAAAGCTCCCACCCGGCTATCGACCGATCTCGAACGATCTCGACACGCGTCGTGCCATCGATATCGACACGTAACAATTACCTGCTCTCGTACACGTTCTCGACACGTAACAAACCCATCGTCGACGTAATCGTGATAACTATGTGGACGTCTCTCTCTCTCTCTCTTTTTCTTTCCTTCCCTCTTTTCTAATCGACCAAATTTCCTGGACGATGAATCTATCGGTGGCAACGACCCACTCACGTACTCGCTCTCCATTATCTCGACACTCGAATAATTTCCGCTTGGATCGAGGATGGATATCGGGCGGAAATTAAGAATGTATCGCGCGATTCAAACGTGATTTTTCATTCAGAAAATGGAATTCGAACCAGTCGGATGAATGGAAGAGTCGTGATTTCATTTTTCGCCGCGAGTGAAATGTTATCTTGTTATGCTTTTCCGGATTAACTTTAAGGATTATTCGAAAAATATGGATTTTTTTCTTTTTATTTCGTGCATATACAGGGTGTTTCGCGGAAAAGAAGGGATATTTTTTAAGGGTATTCGTTCGTTTCGATCTTTGATTTTGATCTTCGAAAGATGTTCCACCCTGGATATATAAAACACCCTGTAGAATTTAATTAGAAAGGGATTAAAATACGATTAATCACATCTAAACCACTTATATCTTTCGAGAATTTCCTTTTCCTGTTTCAATTGATCGAATAACTAGCAATAAGTGATCCAATGAATGCACTCGATTCGATCGGTCAATTGAAAGTTTGAACGATAAAGAGATTCTTGAACGATTATTTCTTCCTTAATTTAACTTATTTTTCGAACAATCGAATCTTGATAATTACAATGATTAATGCGATTCGAGGGACAAATTACGTATTGGAACGGGCGTTGTTATCGAAAAATAAACGAACTTCCGTCACCACTTTTGACGTTTCGATGTTGGTAACGACCTGTCGAGTTAGAGTTGTAAAAAAAAAAAAAAAGAAAAGAAGAAAAAAAAAGTAAAATAAACCATCCCCAGAGAATTCCACTCCAACCAACGAAAACAACGGTAATTGATTTTTTCTCTTTTATGTGGATGCAGCTATGTGAGCGGGGCAGCTAGGAGCAACAGTCCTAGAAAAATGTCGAATAAACTGCCAGTGGTTCGTATATCGGTTCCCGTAAGTGTTACAGCAATCTACTCTGGTCGAGTGTGTTTACATTGTGTATATACAGAAACAGAGGAATCGTTGTGCAGGGTGTTGATATGATATCGTGGTTACATCGTTTGGAAGGTATTGAGGTAGAAGAAATTGATCAAGAAGCAGAGATTTATTCGAATATCGAATAATAAATATTCAAAAAAAAAAAATAAAAATTAATTGAATATTATAATTTTATTACGTTATAAAGATAGATAATTCTCGATAAATTGTTCGTATGAAAATATCGAAGTGGAAGAGAGATCGTATAATGAATCACGTGGGGATATTTTTCTCATTATCATCTTAATATATCAAGATAAATTGTTCAGAATCATTTCAAATTATATACGATAAGATCAACGGAGAGGGAAAAAAATACATTATAAATTTTATCAATCGAACATCAATTGACAAACGATTCCACCGAATAAGGAAGAATTTAGGGAACACGTGTGGTAAATATGCGTCTGCATAAAAATCCCTAGTCTAGTTACAAAATTTAAATTCCAACGCAAACTTCAATTGCTCGTAACTCGGCAAGCAACGAACTCGACCGACACTTTTTTCTCCATCTTCCCCTCCACCATAATCGATCCTCCGCCAAAGGGTATTCCACGAATATATATCGACACCCTGTATAACGTCCAATGCGAATCGAAAGGAAAAGTACGCGAGCAATGTTTCCATCCATAGTGTTCAATCGTAGCGTACGTAATCGATTGTACGGTAGCTTTCCCCTATCCCCGATCTTTATAGAGGCTAGATAGGGCGTAAATAGAAGAGATAGAAACCTGTACCAGTCTTGATTTCATCCCTTACGCGTGCCACGTAGCAGGGGTTCCCAACCACTTCCTCGAATCGCGATGATAATTTTTCGTGGATTGAATATTAAATAATTTGTCGTAAAAAGTAATTTTGATAATAGAATCGCGATGCAAATTTTCTGGGATTCGCAATTTCCTTTTTAAATCGACTTTGCTCGGAAGAATACGAAGAATATGTTAAAATTTTTCGAAAAGGATTTTGATTAAAAAATATCGTTCTTCCAAATTTGATCTGGAAATTGGTTGTATAAAATACAAAGAATTTTTTAAAACCTCTTTTTTGCAATAAAAATTCTCTCTCATCTTTCGAGAACATCGCAGGCAAATATGGAAGAACAATAATTTCAGCTGGAATAAACGATGTAAAGATCTGTTTTGGGGGTCGTGACTCGGGTCGTGTTGGGAATCCAGGGTCTGTGCCATTAGTGATCTTGATATGTGTGTCTCGTCCAAGAATATAGTTTCGAATTACATCCCCTTCGTTAGAACTTAGAGGCGTTCCTTGCATCTCCTCGTTAGATTTAGGTGTATTCTCCCTAGTGTCTGAATGCTGTGTTTAATCTTGCATCGACGACTGTGTAAGT